CACTCTGCCGATTTGTGCCCTTCACCGCCGCAGCGGAAGCAGAGACGCCCGTTCTCCGCTTCCGCAGGGCATAGAGCGCGAGTGTGGCCCAGCATCATGCATTTATAGCATCGGAGTGGCTGGGCCTCCACTGCTTTGACGGTGGCCATCGTCCATCCGATGGCCACTCGTCCTGCCTTCACAATTGCCTTAGCGGCAATCGCTGGGCACTTGACCAGGGCGGAGCCGCCGCCCCAGAAGCTCGGCCTGATGTTACCTACTCTCATGGAGCTGGGGGGACACCCGCCGACCGATGCCAATTGGGCCGCCACTTCCTCAGTGGTCACCGTGTCATCTAGACCGGTGATCCTGAGGACGGCCATTTTGGTTGGGCGGGTGATGTCCGCCCAGCTCCCTACTGCCTCCACCAGGGCGGCGGCGAGGCGGTCGGCGGTTTCCTCGGGGGTGGTGCCCCCGACCTCCATCAGTTTGGAGCCGGTCATGCTCGTTCGGATCTTGACCGACTCCAAACCGAACTCCCTCAGGGATATCGAGGACCTGGCCTTTGCCAGGACCTCAGAATATTTAGCGTCGGTTGTGGCCCCTTCCGCGGTGGTCATGGTGGCCCCTTTCTTGAGGGTCACCACAATGGCCGCGGTTTTTGGGGCCACGATTTTGACGGCCTTTGGTGGGGGGGCCGGGGCGATCTGCCGGGTTGTTCCGGCTGAGGGGGGGGAATTAGCAGCGGCAGCAGCATTTCCCCTCTTCTTCCGCCGGACAACCTCGGACCAGGAGTTGCCCGCCGTCCCTGTCTGGGCTTCCCCCTCTCCGCTTGTTCCAGCGGTTGGGGGGGGAGGGGTCGCTTCTGCCTGTCCTGCCCCCTGCTTCCCCTTGGAGGGAGGAGGAGGCGGGGGGGCAGTCGGCCGCTTTGCGGCGCCCTTTTTCGGCGCCTTCTTTGCCGCCCTGGGAGTGGGCGCCTGGGGTGGCTGGGCCTCCCCATCCACCTCCATGATGGCCTCCACGAGCCCCGACCGGGACTTGTGGCGGGGCGGCGGCGG